CCCGAGCATTGGTGCCAGCGAGGCGGCCCCGCCAAGCTTTCTCCCGCCCCCCGCCCCCTGTGGAGTCAGCAGCGAAGCCTTCTCAGAGCGTTCCCTGCCTTTTGGGGGGATTTAAGTATCCCCCCTATAGTTTTTTTTAACAGTTTTTAGATTTTTCTGCACATCTAGGGAATGGCCCAAATGTGCAGGAAAATCTCCCTGCCCCCCAGGCGCCCCCGAGGTGCAGATTTAGATATCCGCACGTGGGGGGCGCCTTGGCTATTAGATATATAGATACCTTGCTTTTCTCTACCCTGAGAAGTCTCAAAGCAGCTTACAACTGCCTTCCCCTTCCTCAGGAGGTGGTGGGCTCTCCGGGTCCATCTGACAGCAATGCTGAATCTGTGAGACGGAGGGCAGGAAGGGTTGCCTCAGTGCGTAGTTCTTGTGGCCCTTTCTTACACGCCCAGGGAAATGCTGGTTGCCTCTCTGGGGTCTGGAAGCAAATTTTTCTCCAGGCCATTTTGGCCAGGGATCCTGGAGGTTTTTTGTCACCTTCTCAGCGTGGAACAGCGGTCACTGTGGGTGTGGAGGGGGAGGTATCTGTGTATTGCCTGCATTGTGCCAGGGGTTGGACTAGATGACCCTGGAGGTTCCTTCCAGTTCTATGATTCCATGATTCCTCTCCCCACAACAGGCCCCCCTCTGAGGTAGATGAGGCTGAGAAGGTTATAAGAGAACTGTGACTGGCCCAAGGCCACCCAGCAGGCTTCATGAGGAGGAGGAGGAGTGGGGAATCCAACTGGCTCTCCAGATTAGAGTCCGCTGCTCTTCACCACGACACCAGGCTATTGGCTTGTTGGGCAATTCTGACGCTTTTCCCCTTTCTTTCTTGGTAGACCTGTCGGTTTCCAACTGAATTTCAGCTATAGTTGGAACCCACCCATCCGCCGCACCCCTTACCCAGAAGCAAAACTCTTCGCTCTAACATCGGCCACAGCCAGGAAAACTGCCGCTGTTCTTCCTGACTCTCAAACGATAGGTTAGCAATGTAGGAATAGATCTGAAACCCTGTCTCTGGTCCTTTTAGAACAGAAGACCAAATCCCTAAATGGAATACATATGTAGAGATCTGTATACACTGCGGTTGTGTATTCTTAAGTTGACCCCTGCCTCCTCTAAAGACTTTATTGGTTTGGGAGCAGGATTTAGAAGAATCACTTTGATTACAGACTGAGGAGAGAGGTTTAGGGCGCCAAACAGAGATAAAGTGGGACGAGGATTAGAGATCAAAGAGACAGAGTGCTCTCCGTGAGACGCTAACAACTTTTGACAGCTATCCCTAACTTGCGTGTTATGGCATTTGCATTGGTCTGGTTTCAAGGGATTTGGTTAAGTGGAATTTTTTTTCTCTTGAATTCAGCTGCACTTACTGATGCCATGTAGTCCCCGTGCCAGGCTCTGTGAAGTCCGATATCAGCTCGGTGGCCCTTCAGCAGTTCCATTGCAGCCACCTTTGCCCTGATCTGAGGAAGGTCTTTTGGGGGGATACTCTTGATCAGTTCGTGTGCCCTCCATCTGAAAAGCAAGGAGTGGGACAATGCATACATCAGCCAGGCCTGGGAAATCAAGAACACCTGGTTTCTCCATTACAGTAGTTGCTCACATCTTCATACAGGGTATCTTGCAGGTGGAGGGCATACTGACTGCCTTACCATTGGTTGACATGACTAGAAGTGAACTTGGACAAGCTTTGTCCTGTGGTTACCATGTCCTAAGAACATCAGAAGAGTCCTGCTGGATCAGAACAGTGGTCCATCTAGTCCAGCCTCCTGTCTCACACAGGGGCCCACCAGTTCCTCTGGTTGGCCAACTACAGGACAATGAGTCCAAGGTCTTCCATAGTAAGAACATCAGAAGAGTCCTGCTGGATCAGAACAGTGGTCCATCTAGTCCAGCCTCCTGTCTCACACAGGGGCCCACCAGTTCCTCTGGTTGGCCAACTACAGGACAATGAGTCCAAGGTCTTCCATAGTAAGAACATCAGAAGAGTCCTGCTGGATCAGAACAGTGGTCCATCTAGTCCAGCCTCCTGTCTCACACAGGGGCCCACCAGTTCCTCTGGTTGGCCAACTACAGGACAATGAGTCCAAGGTCTTCCATAGTAAGAACATCAGAAGAGTCCTGCTGGATCAGAACAGTGGTCCATCTAGTCCAGCCTCCTGTCTCACACAGGGGCCCACCAGTTCCTCTGGTTGGCCAACTACAGGACAATGAGTCCAAGGTCTTCCATAGTAAGAACATCAGAAGAGTCCTGCTGGATCAGAACAGTGGTCCATCTAGTCCAGCCTCCTGTCTCACACAGGGGCCCACCAGTTCCTCTGGTTGGCCAACTACAGGACAATGAGTCCAAGGTCTTCCATAGTAAGAACATCAGAAGAGTCCTGCTGGATCAGAACAGTGGTCCATCTAGTCCAGCCTCCTGTCTCACACAGGGGCCCACCAGTTCCTCTGGTTGGCCAACTACAGGACAATGAGTCCAAGGTCTTCCATAGTAAGAACATCAGAAGAGTCCTGCTGGATCAGAACAGTGGTCCATCTAGTCCAGCCTCCTGTCTCACACAGGGGCCCACCAGTTCCTCTGGTTGGCCAACTACAGGACAATGAGTCCAAGGTCTTCCATAGTAAGAACATCAGAAGAGTCCTGCTGGATCAGAACAGTGGTCCATCTAGTCCAGCCTCCTGTCTCACACAGGGGCCAACCAGTTCCTCTGGTTGGCCAACTACAGGACAATGAGTCCAAGGTCTTCCATAGTAAGAACATAAGAAGAGCCCTGTTGGATCAGATCAGTGGTTCATCTAGTCCAGCCTCCTGTCTCACACGGGGGCCAACTAGTGCCTCTGGAGGGACAACAACAGGGCACAGAGGCCAAGGCCCTCCCCTGATGTTGCCTCTGAAGCTTCTGAATGTGGAGGTTCCCTTCAGTCACCATGACCAGTAGCCACTGAAGGACCTGTCCTCCACAAATCCATCTAATCCTCCTTTAAAACTGTCTATGCCTAGGGCCATCACTACATCCTGTGGCAGTGAGTTCCACATTTTAATCACTCGTTGTGTAAAGTGGTGTTTCTTTTTGTCCACCCTGAATCTACTGCCCATTGGCTCCACTGGATGCCCTCAAGCTCTAGTATTTTGAGAGAACAATGGAAGTTCTCTGTCCTCTCTCTCTCTCTACACTGTACAAAAGTTTATAACCCTCTATCAAGTCCCCTGCTTAGTTGTCTTTTCCATTGCAATGTCCCAGGCTCTTCCGCCTTTCCTCATCGTTTCCACTGTGACTTCCTCCAGTGGAAGTCACACTGGTTGGCTGCAACCCACAAAGGTGCCCGGTAGGTACTGAGGGACATGTAGAGATGTAAAATTTCTGGAAATTTTGAAGCTCGGAAAAAACCCCGGGTTTTTTCCAGTTTTTTTCGGGGGGGAACGGAAATTTTCGGAAAAATTGAAAAAAATGCTACATTAGCATTTCTTTTGTCTTTTCCAGATTGAAAGTCATTCTGTTACTTTAGGAACATAAAATATGACTATGGACATTTTTACTTGGCATGAAATTATCACAACTAGCCTATTAAAAATATAGTGTGTCCCAACAATTATTACAAACAGACTACACACACATGCAAAAACAAAACGGAAACCTTTTTCTTTTCTTGTGACAATAGCACCTCCTCAAGGAAGAAATGAGTCTTGTTCTTGCATTGGAGAGTTCAGTTTGTAACCTAGGAGTTGCTTGTCCTCAGTGCACAGAAATTAGATCAATCTGATACCATATATATATATATATATATGTGTGTGTGTGAAATGATTTGGAAAATATCTGAACACCTTGTCTTAAAATATTTTATTCATCATGTTAATTTTCTTTTCTTTTCTTTTTTCAATTTTTCCAATTTTTGGGGGAAAAAACAAAAAAGGCTTCAGGAAAAAAACAAAAAAAACCCTGTTTTCCCCCCCGAATTTTTTCGGGGTTTTTTCCGGGCCTTCACATCTCTAGGGACATGACCGTGCTTCACAGTGCTAGCAATGGCTTGCTGCAGACCCCCCCTTACCTGTGGTAGATGGACTGCAGGGCCTCTCCAAACCTCCACAGCACTTTCGGAGGGCTGGGCCACTTCACGTGTTTGCCGTACCCCTTCATGGACCTCACGTTATGAAACCGCCGGGCAACCTCCCGGATGTAGGATTTGACTTTGTACCGACGGTAGCACTGGATGATCTTGAGGGCAGCCCGGGTCCTCTTGTAGCGCAGGCGGGCCAGCGTGCCCCTCCACACCTACAGGAGGGGGAAACAGAAGGGGTTTTTAAATGCTAGAAACAGCACGGCAAGGCAAGGCTGGGAGTGGCACCCTTGTGCAGCGCAAAACCCCCCCCCCCCACATTTGTTGCTGTAAGATACAGAATGCCCTAATGGGCGCTTTCACACAGGCTGATTAACGCAGGCTCAATCCAGTCCAGTGACCGTTTGGATTTTGCCATTTCGCACAGTAAAATCCAGTGGCAAATTGCACTGAGTGGTTTTAACGTGTGTTACTTAGTGCATGTGAAAGAGACTACATGAAGGGAGCCAGTGTTCCCTCTAAGCTGAGTTAGTGTGAGCCAGCTCACAGTTTTTTAGCCTCTGGCTCACACATTTTTGGCTTCGCTCAGGAAGGATGGCTCCAGAGCAAACTAATTGATGCAGCAGCCAAATTGTTTGCTCACAACTTTAATGCCGGTAGCTCACAAAGTAGAATTTTTGCTCACAAGACTCCACAGCTTAGAGGGAACATTGGAAGGGACTGGCATTTTTGTTTGACTAAAGGTTGCCAGACCTCAGGTGGGCCTAGTAACAAATAAATATGCACTGCAAAAACCCTTTAACAAACTAATGTGTTCTATTTATGGTCATCATTTAGTCAAGTGCATAGTGTATCATCATTTCATCCTAGTCAGGTATAAATATTCATTACATTCAATAAGCAATAACATTCAGTACATACAGATTGCTAACTACCAGACAATTTTGCATCAGCGTTTTAAAAGCCAAGCCCCAACGGGAGTTTCTAGAATTATAAACCTGCTTCTCCTTGCATGAAGTCTTCCAAAAAGGGGGACAGCTTTCTTAATAGTTGTATGGATGCTTTTTGCCGGTCCTACAAAAGACACATTGTGCAGCTAACATTCATGGACAGAGTACTCCTATCATTCTCAAAGCTGTATATTTATTTGTTACTAGACTCTCCTAACACTGCAGCTTGGGTTGCTTCAGACCCCAGGTGGGAGCAGGGATCCCCTGATTTCGTGATATGCTTCCATGCCATATCAGAATGCAACAGTAAGGCGTTGGGTGAACGCTGTAGCAAACAGGGACATCAAAGGAGCAAAAATAACGCTCCTTGTATTATTGTTCATATAGCGTTCAGTTGGAGGCGAATATAAGGGCAGAGGTCAAAGGCTTCATGGAAAGGTGGGCCCTAGCCTAGACAGCTGTAAAGAAGATTACACAGGTTCCTGGAGGATAGGTCTATCAACAGCTACTAGCCTCCACATTCAAACGCAGGTAACATCTGAATATCAGTGCCAGGAAGCAACACCAGGAGAAGAACATCAGGCCTCCATTGTCCTGTTGTTGGCTCTCCAAACTACTGGTTGGTCCTGTGTGAGGCAGGATGCTGCGCTAGATGGACCACCGGTCTGATCCAGCAGGGCTCTTCTGATGTTCTTCTTTTCCAGAAGCTGTGCCACTAGAATTCCATCCGCACCTCCTCCAGAAGGAGATATCACGGCTGTCGTCACAGGGACCATCACGAGAATGGGCTCCCTCCTCAAATGGCCTCAAATCACTACATCTGGTTTGTGAACACCTGCCTGTGTTAGGGCAATATTTTGTTTCTTCTTATGCAGAAAATGAAAAGGGTCATTTCCTTTCATCTCACTGGGCTCCCTGGACATGCATCAGTTCTTCTATTTGCACTGTGGATTAGTTAGTCACCCGAGGCAATTCCCAACCTGGCCATTCGTTTTATGAAGCTCATGCAAAGAAGCATTTGCTCCCACACGCTTTGCGGAATTATGTCAGGCCAGGAGAGGTCAAGAGAGACATGCCGCTGAGAAGGGAATGAGAAATGGCATTTGCTACTGCCAATTCTGAAGGAGAAGAGGGTAACTATGAGCCTTTTTGGAAAAGGAATATCAGATCCTTTTCTGTCTCATCGACCACTGTCTTCCCTGAAGAAGCATCCAGAACAGCCAAGTGTCCTATATATACGCGAGTCACTAGAATATAACCCTATAGCTTAAAAGTATTACGCATGCGGGCTATATCCTACCATATTAAGAACATAAGAACATAAGCCAATGCTGGATCAGGCCAATGGCCCATCTAGTCCAACACTCTGTCACACAGTGGCCAGGAATACCAGGTGCCATCAGGAGGTCCAGCAGTGGGGCCAGGACACTAGAAGCCCTCCCACTGTTGCCCCCACCCCCCCAAGCACCAAGAAGACAGGGCATCCCTTGCCCCAGACCGAGAGTTCCTATAAGAACATAAGAGAAGCCAATGTTGGATCAGACCAATGGCCGACCCAGTCCAACACTCTCACACAGTGGCCAAAGATACCAGGTGCCATCAGGAGGTCCACCAGTGGGGCCAGGACACTAGAAGCCCTCCCACTGTTGCCCCCCAGCACCAAGAAGACAGAGCATCCCTTGCCCCAGACTGAGAGTTCCTATCTATACCTTGTGGCTAAGAGCCACTGATGGACTTCTGATCCATAGAAGAACATAAGAGAAGCCAATGTTGGATCAGGCCAAAGGCCCATCTAGTCCAACACTCTGTCACACAGTGGCCAAAGATACCAGGTGCCATCAGGAGGTCCACCAGTGGGGCCAGGACACTAGAAGCCCTCCCACTGTTGCCCCCACCCCCCAAGCACCAAGAATACAGAGCATCCCTTGCCCCAGACTGAGAGTTCCTATCTATACCTTGTGGCTAAGAGCCACTGATGGACCTCTGATCCATAGAAGAACATAAGAGAAGCCAATGTTGGATCAGGCCAGTGGCCCATCCAGTCCAACACTCTGTGTCACACAGTGGCCAAAAATACCATGTGCCATCAGGAGGTCCAGCAGTGGGGCCAGGACACTAGAAGCCCTCCCACTGTTGCCCCCACCCCCCCAAGCACCAAGAATACAGAGCATAAAGCAAGGTTCTTGCTCTACATCTGGGTAACCAAAATGAGGAACATGCATAATGGATGGGGACTACACGTCTGGGTAGCAGTGTGTGTGTGTGTGAACAAGATCTTGGGGTACGGGCGTACCGAAAGTTAAATATGAGCAGCCAGTGTGATGCGGCAACAAAAAAGGATAATGTGATCTTGGGGTGTATCAACAGAGGCATAACATTCAAATCACAAGATGTCATAGTCCTGCTGTACACTGCATGGGTCAGGCCGCACCAGGAGTGCTGTGTGCAGTTCTGGAGGCCTCACTTCAAATGGGATGTGGACAGAATGGAGCGGGGGCAGAGGAGAGCGACGAGGATGATTGGGGATGATTGGGGGCCTGGAGACCAAGCCCTACGAGGAAAGGCTGAGGGACTTGGGAATGTTTAGTCCGGAGAAGAGGAGGTTGAGGGGGGACATGATTGCTCTCTTTAAGTATTCAAAGGACTGTCTCTTAGAGAAGGGCAAGGAACTGTTTCTGTTGGCAGCAGAGGAGAGGACTCACAAGAATGGGTTTAAATTAAGGACAGGAAGGTTCCGGTTGGATAACAGGAAAAACATTTTGACAGTAAGAGTTGTTCAACAGTGGGATCAGCTGCCTAGGGAGGTGGTGAGCTCCCCCTCACTGGCAGTCTTCAAGCAGCAGCTGGACAAACACTCCTCAGGGATGCTCTAGGCCAGTGATGGCGAACCTTTTAGAGACCGAGTGCCCAAACTGCGACCCAAAACCCACTTATTTATCGCAAAGTGCCAACACGGCCATTTAACCTGAATACTGAGGTTTTACTTTAGAAAAAAACACTCATACATTAACTTAAGATGAGCCAAACAAAGTAAGGAAAGCAATCCCAAAGGCTTTCATTGACTTAAAATTATTTGGCAGAGAATTCTACCCTTTAATGATGGTGTGGGCCTGGCTGGGGCGATGGCACACGTGCCCACAGAGAGGGCTCTGAGTGCCACCTCTGGCACCCGTGCCATAGGTTCGCCACCACTGCTCTAGGCTGATCCTGCATTGAGCCACAGGGTTGAACTAGATGGCCTGTAGGCAGGGATCATTTCGTAGAAAAAGAGGTGCAGGAGCTCATTAGCATAACTCATTAGCATTACTTATTTGCATATGCCACACCCCCTGACATCATTCGAAGTGTGTCAGAAGGCAACACCCACTGCTCAGGCTCCACTGGACTGTTTTGGATTGCTAGCTATTGGGGGGGGGGGATCGTGCAGATCTGCCCTCGCAGAGGAGGGAGAGCTTGTACCTGAATAAAACTTGGTCTTAAAGGTGCCTCTGGACTGTTCTGGACCAGGGGGCCGGGGGGGGGGGGGCTCTGCAACTTACCTGGCTGCTTCTTGCTCTGACTGAGGGCTGCTGGGAGCAGGGGGTGGGGCTTGTTGCATGTGCCCGCCCCCTGGGCTCTTTACTGCCGGAGCTCCGCTCCTGTGTGCTCCTGCAGGAAATGACCCCTGCCTGTAGGGGCCCTTCCAACTCTGTGGTCCCATGATTCTATGGTATTTGCTGTGAGTTGTATTTTTAACTTCTTATGCCTAGAAAAGGCCAGAGTAATGAACTTTTAAACAACAAATGTTGACAGCGCTCTCTGGTATAGTGGGGGTGGGGCTCTCCATTCTGAGCTTTGCCGCCTCTGTATTCTCATGGTTAATGCCCTTCTGTTTCTTCCTCCTAGAACGTGTGTCTTGTAAGTGCTCAGGGGCCCTTAGCGAAGGGAACTCTTACAGCCGTGACAGCTTGGCTCTGAGGGCTTGCCCTTGATTACAGATGCCCTCTGTGGCTTCTGCCCTCAGGCCTGCCGGAGCAAGGTAATTGGACTCCAGAGGCGACTGTGGGCAGACTGTCTGATGCTCCTTCGGGGGACCTCGCCCCATGCATTTGGCCGGCCTCTGCATAGCTGCAGGAGCCGCGGCTGCTTGTCATCACATGCCTCATTGGCTGCCAGGGTAGCTCTTAATAACGTGGCGTCTGGGACTCCTCTGCTTTGGGGGGAATTAAGGTGAATGCTAAAACCTCACCAAAGTCTAGCTTGTTTTCAAAATCTACAATAATGTT